ACTCAAGACTTATGTACCAAATATACTAAAGTGATATTGCAGACTGAGGGGAAAAGCCCTAGAAGTTAGCAAGACTTAGTAGATGATCTGTACTTCGAATGCACTATTACAGTGATAAAGATTCTGGGAGGTAGCACAACACTTTGTCATTGGATATGCAAAACGAACTTTTAATTAAAACCAGTTGATTTTATATATATTTTGTTTCTGTGTCTTATGTCCAGTCAATGTCGTGACATATCTAACTGTTGATTTTTAATAATGTGGTATGAAATTTGTTAGAAATTGATCGTTTCCGGTGATTGCAGATTGATCTATATAATATGCAGAATGTTATCTATAGGCCTGCAGATGTACAGGACATAATAACGTTACTTTTTCAGGTCCCCAAAAAAATCCAAATTAATGAAAATTCAAATGAAATATTCATGAATTATGTGTTTGAGAAATCTATTATGTAAGACCCTCAAAATGTCCCTGGACCACCAAATTTCAAAAAGTCCACTTTTAAAAACCTATTATTTCACTAAAATCGTTCCTAATTATCGCGAAATGCTATATAGTATGCATTACATTTTTTTGCCCGCTCTTCTACCCGTTGATTTTTAATAATGTGCTACGAAATCTGTTGGAAACTATCAGCTCCAGTGATTGCAGATTGATCCATGTCATCTGTAGGCCTACAGATGTAAAGAACATGAAAAATTACAATTTCACAGTGGTGGATTCAAGGGGGGAGGGGGAGAGCCCCCTAAATTTATAAAAGAAATGGAGAAAAAAGAAAAATCATAATTAAAGTTTGTCTGAGAGTGCCATTTCCGGCCATTTTGAGGTGCCATAATCATAAATTTTCTATACTTCAGCTGGTAGTTCCTCCCTTTATCCCACCCTCTATTTCTCCTGCTTTACTGTAGGTCCCTAGACAATACTCAAATGACTGAAAATTTAAATAGGATATTACAAATTATAGATTTTAGAAATCCATTAAATAAGGCCCTCAAAATGCTAATTTGTCAGGTTCCAGAAGATTCGCCCCACCCTCGCAGGGATCCCTAGGCAGTTGCCCATCGTAAGGTCCACTTCGGTTGCAAAACGCACCTCCCCATCGAAAATCCTGCCTACGGGCCTGATTAAGTTTAAGGTTAGGGTCAAGCCACCTCCACCAATCAATACTCCAAATTTACGTATGCGTCTCAATATGCATGCATCCACCTATTTTATTCATGAGAAACATTTCTGTCATGCCAAACTAGGCTAGCCTACTGTATTATATGCTGTATTTTCATGTACAAAAGAGTAGCCCTACTCACAAGGTAGGCTGAATATCAATAAAACAGGCCCAAATCCAGTAGGGGAGAGGGAGCGCACATGGAAGGTAAAGGGGGAACGTGCCTGCCCCGTCTTGCCACAAATTTTTAAAATTTCAGTGCAATGTTATGTGCTGCTCGCTTATTCTGAAACAGTTCTGCCCATTCCCCCCCCCCCCCAACATTTGAAAAATTATGACATGGTAACATTAAAAACGACTGCCTCCTCAACTTCCCGTAACATTCAATAGCACATCGCCACCTTTCCCCACTATTTCAACACTGTGCGGAGCATGGGTATATGCGGCAAAGACAAGCCAAACCAGTCACTCGTCGCAAAAATCGATTTTGAGTTATTAATACAGTGTTAGAGAGTAAAATAATAGCTATAAAATGGTAAAAAAATCATTCAAATCGGACATTTCCTTATGAAGTTAAAAGCGTTTAAACATACAGCTGTTTAAAGAACAATATATGAGAAATCAGCCTTCAAAGTTATGATTTCAGGCATTTCTCATGCAGAAACTATCATCAAATCCTTAAAAAGTGTTGTTTTAACATTGAAAATGGGGAAAATAACAGCATAGAATGATGTATAGATATGTAAAGATTATTTTTGATTAGATTAGATTTTTAAAAATTTGACATTCCAGCATGTTTTGGCCATTTTCTGTGAAACACGATTTGCGACGAATGACTGGTTTGGCTTGTATTTGCCACATATGCTGGTCATCATAATCATTGCATCACTTCTGCATCACTATGTATTGGGACAAAAAACATTTATTATGCCCTGTCCAGACCATTATATTTTGTTTGACTAAAAAATATTGTACGCCCATATGTACAGTAGCCATGAGGTGCTTATACAGTATATTGTCATGATTTATGTAATATCATGACCATATTTATAGGCAAGTTACATGTTTCTGTCAAATAGAACTTGATAGGAAAGCACTTTGGAACACACTTCAATTGATGTTATATATATAAACATGAATCATCATAATCTATATTATCTTCATCATATTATTACCAATAATAACTATGCCGAAAATCAGCCCTTAGCGAATTCGGTCCTGCTACCCGACCTACTCGGGTAATCGATCATCGAACCCCCTGTCACAAGTGACAGGTTGGGTGACAGATTCGCTACTTACCTAAAATTTCTACCCGCTACCGGCGGCCTGCGAAGGTCGCATACTAGTGTATTGTTGTTAGGCCTAGGAATGTTAGTGATCTAGAGTGAGCGAGAGATATTTCGTTTACAATGGTCAGGCACGGCAAACGTAATGAATAAGCCTACAATCTACTGTAGGCTACAACAATTAATACTCTCTTAACATATTCCTACATTTTCAATAAAAAGAAGTTATAATCGGGAGCGCATGTTTAGGTGTGGTGTGATGTCAAAAAGTGCATTGGCAGTCCGTAACGAACAGAAGCACCTACTGAATTTCCCGCAAATATTTTTTTACTGGGAATTGTTCTTCTTGTCTATACCACAGTATAATTAAAAAGAAAATACAAATTGTGTTCACACCTAAAAATCGGGAAAATTACGATGCATAACAAACAAAAATAATAAGATTGAACTGAAGCGCCTACCCTGGCATCCCAAGACCGAACAATTGTGTGCCTGGTGAAGCTTATTATAATAGTATTTAAACATGTGTATTATAACGGTTAGTGCACGTGTTTGAATATTAATATAATATTTAAACATGTTTATTATAACGGTTAACACACATGTTTAAATGTGGTAATGTTTAGGCATGTGTATTTTATATAGTTATAATACAAAATGAATACCCTGCCGCAAAATGGACGGTTCTAAATCACCCACGACTCAAGCACATGGGCTTCTCGTTCGTTCGTGACGTTGTGCACTGGCCGTGAGAGCGAGTAATCGTCTGTAGATCATATGCAACGAAGATACAGAATATCAGTTATAAAATCAATTTAGCATTTGATTTTAATACATGACAAGTTATTCTCTGTTCCTAAATTCTAACTGTCAACTAAATATTCATCGCTCGATTCGGAGGCCCTATAAAATGATTTACTACTCTCTGAGCCTAAATTGAAATACATCAGCTGTAAGCTGTAGAATAGCCCCTGGATAGCAGGGAATGTGAGTAAACATTGCTGTACGCCACACGATCATAAAATAAATAGAATAGGCTAGAAAGAATCGTATTCTTATATTTATTTAGGCCAGCATAAACACCAATACACCATGTCATTTTCAATACATATGTGTATTGAAAATGACCAAAATTACCATCATCCAACTAATAAAATATTGATGCATCTTTCTGGCTAGTATCCTTCCGATCGCCAAGTCACGGTTTTACGTTCGCGAAATTTGTGAAAAAAGTAAAGTAAATCCACAGACGTACAGCTACTGTCTTTTTTCATTATGGTCAGATTTTGGTTTAAAACATTTTATGTTTTAAATAATAACATTAGATTCAGAAATTGTGTATACTTTCTGAAATTTGACCATGATTGGAGCAGTACTGGCTGAACTGTGTCGATTTTCTCCTACTACCAAGGTCTTGTTTACTCATTGTGAAGGCTGTTTAGGCAGCATGCAGGCAATTAGCAATCAATCATCCAACCCACCAGTAACAGTTTCTTCTAAGGGGAAGAATTTCGTCATGACAACATTACAATAAAATTTTAAATCATGGCTTATAAAACTAAAATAAAGGGAAAAAAACAATAAAGTATGTATGATTGTAATTGATTTTCATGATCAGTGAAAGTACCATCAGATTACCTGAAACTACAAAAAAAAATCATCATCATCATCTTCTTTTGTAGTGCATTAGCCTCTTACAGTAGTTTAGTCACAAAGTGGTGGTGAATGATCTGTACACCAGGAACACTCACTTCAAACAAAGGATAAACATGTTCCAACTAAAATACTGTACAGCTTGCATTTTACTGTTTCAGTCCTTTGGCTGAAACACAAGATCCCTTTTGATCAGTGATTGTCTAAATTATGTCTTCTGGACCAAAGATAATCTGTTTCTCCATGTATGCATCCTTCTATAAACAGCTCTATCATGATAACTGCTTTTAAGTGATCTCTTGTCATGTTCAAATTCAATTTTTGTCAGCTATTTTTTTTCCATACATAAAATATATTCTTGCAAACTGATGAAATGTACATACTGTATGTTTTGTCTTTGCTAGTAAAATATGTCAAGATCCCACAATTATTTCGCTGAGTGGTCTATATCCTACTAAAAAAACACAAGAGTAAACAAATAAAAGTAGGGGTACCATTGAACTAGTTCGAATGTTTATTACTTACGGACATCCAAAAATATCATGGATCCTCGAGGATGCTGTAGAGATGTGCTCCCATGCACAGTTCCATGGTATCTGTTTTACACTTTTATGTTCATGATAATATTCTTGTGCTTTTGTTTTCAAAGATTAGGTTGAAGAATTTTACTTCTAGTGGTTCATTAAATTTGTGGATACATTGTTTTAACATTGTGAGAAAAATATGTCATAGGTTTCCACAGTTAGAGCATTTTTTTTTTTTTTTTTTTTTTTTTTTTTTTGTATTTCAATTATTTTTTTCACAGAGTGGTCTATGCTACGAAAGACAAACACACAGAATAAACAAATAAATGTAGGAGAACCATCAAATTCCTTTAAACATTTATTACTTACTGACGTCTCTCAAAACTATCAGGAACTCTTCCTCTTTCAGTCCGAAGATATTCTGTGGTTCCTCCAGTATGCTGTAGAGGGAACCTCCCATACACAGTTCCATAATGATAACAGGTTGCTTGGTGATCTGGTCATCTTCAATCGCAAACAAGTCCACAATATTCTTGTGCTTCAATTTTTTAATTACATCCAGCTCCCGTACTTGGACTTCGTGTGGTCGTGAAAATGATGCATTATTGAATGTTTTTACAGCTACTTGTTCACCAGTTTTCTATAATTGAATAATAGGAAAATCACAGCCGTTACAACCCCAGAACTCATAATTTAGGAGACTGGAGGTGCACCGATGAAGTGCGTCCCAACCCCCAAAATTTTGAAAATCTAAGCTTTTTTCATGCATGCATTCTGATCTTATGAATGTATCAATAATATTTGAAAAGTCTCTGTAACCAGCATTGATGATAAAGTCAGTGCACAAAGGCAAAATGGACACAGAAATACTCTATTGGTATCAAAAAGCCACTAATTAGCTGCTTTTCGTATTTCAGGGTTCTTTTTCAAAAAAATCGGGAGACCTGGAGATTGCATGAAAATTTGTAAAACTCCCGATCAAATCAGGAGGGTTGGAACCAAGCCTGGAAAAAAGTGTTTGTGCTTCTGACCATGAAAGTTGTCTCGATTAATTGCCTCCAGCACCAAATGTTATCTGTAGCCCAGCAAATTTGCAAAAAATGCCTACGGGACACTCATGTTGCCAATAATGAATAATGAATTTAAAATTTTATTTTTGGCCAATCAGCGCACCTGCCGCCACAAAAAACTTGGAAGTCGCAGAAAAAATAAGTTATTCTTATTTTTATTATGCACCCTGCTACCTTGAAATTTCCAAAATAAGTTATGTATATTTCTTTCCAATTATATAAATTTAAAGCATTTAATCTTCTCATTACAAAAAATATAAAAATAATAATGCAAAAATGGTGAGTAAGGCAGTAATATATACTTTTTTCAGAAAACAAATATTTTGTCTTGTCAAGACTTTATGACATTTCAATTAAATATCAGACCTAATGCTTGGTGTCTCAATTGTAAAGATGATATGCAGTACAGTACTTTTCAAACAATCTGCATTTTTAGGGGGTGGTTGCAGGTCAGTAATATCAGAAGTGATGAAAATCAAATTCACTCAAGAGTGCAAAATAGTCACGCATAGGACTTGCCCAGTTGTACAAAATTTATTGTTTATAAAAACTGCAAGATCATAGTTGGCAGCTAGGCAGTATAAACATCCGAGGACAAGAAACCGGATCAGTTACTTCCTATCGTTTTGTAAAATACCCACTCTAGCTTCCATTTTATTTACTAGTAATAGTTACAGTATTTTTATTGGAGCGTGAACATGACGATGCTTTAAACCATAATAATACAAGATGTCTTGTCCTTCAAAATATTCATGCGCTGACTTACATTGTCATATGATGTAATGTTTATAAACAAGTTATAGTAATAGTAGTCAGCAGCTAGCCAGTAGAATTTTCATCCAGGGACTAGTAGTTGGCAGCTAGCCAATTTCCATCCAGGGAGGCCTTTGTTATTTACTTTATTAATATTAGCATCACGCTATTTTATAGGATCGTGAAATAGGACAATGCTTTTATTGAATTCTCAAGTGTTTCAGCTGTAATATAGTCATGCGCAGGACTTTCTTGTTGAGCAATTTGTTTATAAACAAGTTATAGCAGTTGGAAGGCAGCCAGTAGAAATACCCAATACTAGAGACCGCTTTCTGTAGTGGTTTTACTGTACAGGCAAAATATACTCTTATAAAAATGTTATCATTGTATCCAGTGAAATAAATACCCACATTTGCAAACTCTTTTGATATTTACAATATCAATTCATTTACAATAGCATCACACTACTCATTTTCAGTTATGTACAGCTATAAAAAATGTTGTGTTTGACAACCGTTTATCTCTCAGTAGGTTTACAGTATACTACTATTTGAATTTCTTGCAAGGAGCATCTACCATCAACACACCTAAATAGATGCTTGGGTCTCTGGTTACAAAATTGGTTATCGCATCGTTTACGAGTCGTAATTAATGGTAGGAAGTCACCCTGGGCCTCACTTACCAGTGGTGTACACCATGGCTCAGTTTTGGGTCCTGTACTCTTGCTTATATTAGTTAATGACATTGATACTGTTGTTGATTCAAATATTTTGAAATTCACAGATGACACTAAATAGTTTTGAACTGTCTTGACTGAAAATGATGCAAGAAAACTGCAAGTTGATTTAACATAATTTGTCTACTTGGTGTCAGGACTGGTTGATGCCTTTCAATGTATCCAAGTGCAAAGTAATGCACTTAAATCATAATAATCCTAAATTTAATTATGCGTTAGAAGACACTGTTCTTGAAGAAGCTGATAGGGAAAAAGACCTAGGTGTTATTATTGATAAATCCTTGAAACCCAGCAAACAGTGTGTTGCTGCTGTCAAGACTGCAAATCGGGTGCTCGGCAGTATAAAAAGGTCCTTTGAATATAAATCAGTTGCGAACATTAGGTGTTTGTACAGTATATCGGATTAGTTCGTCCACACTTTGAATTTTCAATCCAAGCTTGGCCACCGCAGTTAAGAAAAGATATAAATTTATTAGAAAAGGTCCAAAGACGGGCAACTAAAATTCCCAAATGTATGAAAAATGTATTGAAGAAATTATGCAGAAAATTATAAAGAAATAATTACTGTAGAAATAAGAAGAATCAGGGGGACTTAATTAATTGAGACATATAAAATATTACTTGGGAAAGAGGATATTGATAGGTATCTGTTTTTCGATTTGGCAGTTGCTCTGTTACTAGAGGTCATACTTGGAAATTAAAAAAGCCTTATGCTCGATTAACTTGTAGGAAGCACTGCTTTTCCCAAAGGGTTAAAATGGATAGAATGCTCTTCCTGCCCACATCATGGAAGCTGAAAGTACCACACAGTTTAAGAGAAGATACCAGAAGACAAGAGGGGTTATTAAAGGGTAGGAAAAAGCCCACCAGTCCTCATCACCACTTAAATAATTTAGTGGTGTTACGGTGAGTTGTCATTTGAGTGGTGGAATTCATCACTTGTCATTGGTTGGGAATTTACACCATAACATTTTTTTTTTGCATACAGGTATCTCCTCAAAACAAAGACCCTCTAATTAATGACCACCTCCAATTTACTGTAAAGACCGATATTCTGTGGTCTCAAATTTACAATATGCCTTTTATCTTTATTATTCTAAGTATAGACTTAAGCTCCAAAAGACCATTGAAACCTTAGTCCCAAACATGGTCTTTTATTGAAGAGGGACATTTATTCTGATTTGCATCACTCTTCCTGAAAATTCATTTCCATCCACGTGTATTTTGGTCTATTCGTTTTGTACAACATTGTACGCCCACACCTAAAACAATGTTTTAATTGGTTGAAATAAGATGGACTCTTCCATTCAGAAGAAAGGTAGAACAAGTTGTTTTTCTTTCAATAGAACATCAAATGACAAGGATATTTAGGTATGTTATTATAGACGTTTTTTATTTGTGGAATGGAAACAGTATTTTCATTCACTGAACGATTGACTGGTTCATTCAATTTTTTAATTTTTCCCTTATAAACACTTTGAGTTAGGTCTATTATTTTTCCATTTTTCCTTGGCTAATTACCTAAAGGAATAAAATAAACCAAAATCAAAATATATTTGCTTGTCAATTATTAATAATAGTCTAGGACACCATAGAAATGATGAGTCACAATTCTCATATACAGTAAATAGTAACAATGAAGATAATAATTTTTGTTAAACATTGATAATAAATTACATTTAATATACCTTATGTCTACCAATATATACATTGGAAGTTGCCCCTGTGCCCAGTACATGCCCCGTGTACCAGATGTAAGATCTTGTACTCTTTAATTGCTCAGTTCGACTTGACATCATCTGCAAAACAAGGAAAAAAATGTGTAAACCCTAATAGAGAATTTCTAAAATGAATGCAAATTTGTGTGCACTTCCCACTGATCACCATGAGTCTACCTACTTTATGTTGCCATTTCGATTGTACAACTGAGATAATCAATAAGCAAAACCCATAATTATGCAAATTCAGCACTTCCCTTTTTGATGGTCCATATCACCAATAATATTGATATAATTGAGAAATATAACAACCTATCTAAAACATTGTAAACAGTTAAATCTTATCAAATCTGCTTTGTTGCTCATGGAAAATACAAATTGGATTGGCATGGGAACATTTCTGGGAAATTCCCCATTCATTTAACATATAGCATACAACCTTCTGATTTTGAGCATTAATAGCCTAGGCCTAGGCCAGAAATTGAAAGCACAGAACTATTAATAGTATCAAAAGGAAGTATTGTCTTGTACAGTAATAATGCAAGCTGTTATAATAATTAAAAAAAAAAAAACCAAAAAAAAAAAAAAAAAAAAAACCCCCCCCCAAAAAAAAAAAAAAAACCCCAAAAAAAACTTAGCGGTTTTAGAAGAATCAGGATGTAATACTTAGTGTAGTAGTTACTAGTAGTAGTAGGCCTAGTAGGCTAGCTGGCCCCAGCCTAGCCTAGTTTAACCAATTATTTATAATCAGGTTTTTAGGGGTTTTAAGTACACTATAGTATATTTATACAAATATAGGCCAGCCTAGGCCTATAATACAGAGGAGCCATTATTTACTGTGTGATGATGCCTGTGCCCAGCTAACTTGGCATTTGACCCTGCCAAACACTGCCACAGAGCGAGCCTTTGACACTTTTTTATAGTGCACCCGGTTCCACCAGCAACCACACACCCAGGCGGGAGCCAGTCAAATTCTTCGTAGCGTTATGCTACAAAAAATAGATTAACATCCAGTAGTATACTCTACTCTCCACTACATTAGGCTAGGCCTACAGTCGCCTACTACGTATGCATACTGACGAATACTCTACCTTCGACAATTATGTAAAACTTCAAGTAAACAACAATAGATCTCCCGGTAATTACATAATTAGATAGACAAAAAATAGTTCCATTGATTTTTCGCTTGCACCTTTTGATATTTCCCTAATTATTATCAAAGATACTAGAAATGATAGAGTTCTCACTGTAGGGGGCGTCCCATTTTTCGTATTCCCACCATGCATTTCGGTGGAACACGGTGGAAGTGATACTTTTTTTGTGTGGAGAACTCTATCTTGTATTTCTAGTATCTTTGTTATTATGCATGATTTCACAGTTCCCTGGCATACTGTAGTTGGATTGGATGCCTGCCAACCGTATGTGACCAGTGATGCAAATCAATTTATGCCAAGGGCTGATGGGAAATAATGCTAGTCATTATTAATGCAAAATTTTTAATTTAGTGAATTTTAATAAGCGCCCATCCCCACCTAAAATGAAAGCAACAATCTTCTCAATATTATTCTGCCCGACCTGGAGAGGAATGTAGAAAGAAGATCATTGGTTTTAAAAGTAATGCCTAGGCATGCTCTGTGCAGCGGTCCCCAGGAACCCCGACGTAACCTTGGGGCCCGAAGGATCTCCGATCACCACCCTGACTCAAAAGGGTTTTGTCGCAGAAAAGAAAGAAAGAAGGAAAATGAAAAAAAGGAATCAGTTAAAGGAAGACTCTTTGAAGAAAGGAAAGAAAGATAAAAAAGAAAAGAAATGAACTAAAAAGGAAAGAAAACAAAAAAAAGGAAACACAAACATTAGAAAATAAAAAGATGAAGTGATGAAGAAAAAGGGAAGAGAGGGAAGGAAGGAAGGAAGAAACTGCGCCTGCTTTCTCGATGTCAAGTAAGAGTTAAAAACCATGAGAGAGCAGTAAATTTGATGCCAGAAGATAATCGTTCAATAAGGATTGAATGGCTTATTGTATCAAAAGCTGAAATTAGCTTAGGTAGAAGGTAGATCAAGGAAGACAGATAATTAAGATGCAGTATCCTCTATCATTTTGAATTATAAAATAATTGTGTACTTTTAGAATTGCAGTTTCAGTACTGTGTAGCTTACGATATACAGACTGAAGAGGATCATGCTAATTATGAGGTAGTACTGTATGTCAGTTCCCCTGCTACAAGCTTTTCAATACCTACCCAGCTAACAATATTACATTATAATAACGTCCTAATAACGTTACAGTTTGGTGTTAAGAACGTTTTGATATAACGTTCTACGATAGTAAATTTGTAGAACCATATTTACGTAATAACCTGAAATATAACGTTCGCAAATAACGTTTATATAACGATATATACAAAACTATATAAAAACGTTAAAAAAACAACATTTAGGAAATGTTATAATAACGTAATAGTTTGGTGTTTAAAATGTCTTTATATAATAATAATAATAACAATAATAATAATAATAATAATAATAATAATTAATAATATTCTAAGAACGTATTTTTGCAGGACTGTATTTATGTAGACTTAATTAAAACGTATATATTTAACGTTCATTTATTACGTATATCTAATGTCATTAACAAACATTATCATGACGTATCATAAATTAATCTTATGAACGTTTTCATATAACGTTCTACTAACGTAAATTTGTACCTGAAATATAACGTTTGCATATAACGTTCATATAACGTTACATACAAACTATATAACAACGTTGAAAACAACGTTTAGATAACGATATATTTATGTAATAGTTTGGTGTTTAAAATGTCTTTATATAACGTTCTAAGAACATATTTTTGTAGGACTATATTTACATAATTATTACATAATTATTACATAATTATGAAGTATATAAGTAACGTTCATTCATTACCTCTATGTAACATTATTAACAAACATTATCATAAAGTAACATAGATTTGTGTTAAGTATGTTGTCATAAACATACTTAACGTAAATTTGTAGAACCATATTTACGTACATATAACCTGAAATATAACATTCGCACATAACGTTCATATAATGTTAAAAAATATAAGGTTAAAAAACAACGTTTAAGAGACGTTGTAATAACGTGATAGTTTAGTATTTAAAATGTCTTTATATAACGTTTTAAGGACGTATTTTTGCAGGAGGTATTCACGTATTTATGACGTAATTATAACGTATATATTTAACGTTCATTCATTACGTGTATCTAAACGTCATTAACAAACGTATCATAACGTATCATAAATTAGTCTTACGAACGTTTTCATATAACGTTCTACTAACGTAAATTTGTACAACCATATACACGTACATATAACCGGAAATATAACGTTTGCATATAACGTTCATATAACGTTACATACAAACTATATAAAAACGTTGAAAACAACGTTAAGATAACGTTATATTTATGTAATAGTTTGGTGTTTAAAATGTCTTTATATAACGTTTTAAGAACATATTTTTGTAGGACTATATTTACGTAATTAATTACGTAATTATGAAGTATATAAGTAACGTTCATTCATTACCTCTATGTAACATTATTAACAAACGTTATCATAACGTAACATAGATTTGTGTTAAGTATGTTGTCAAAAAAACTTTCTACGAACGTAAATTTGTAGAACCATATTAGTAGAACCATATTTACGTACATATAACCTAAAATATAACATTCGCAAATAACGTTCATATAATGTTATATACAAAACTATATAAAAAGGTTGAAAAACAACGTTTACGAAACGTTGTAATAACGTGATACTTTAGTGTTTAAAATGTCTTTATATAACGCTCTAAGAACTTATTTTTGCAGGACTATTTATGACGTAATTATAACTTATATATTTAACGTTCATTCATTACGTGTATCTAACGTCATTAACGAACGTTTTTATATAACGTTCTACTAACGTAAATTTGTACAACCATATATACGTACATATAACCTGAAATATAACGTTTGCATATAACGTTCATAACGTTACATACAAACTATATAAAAACGTTGAAAACAACGTTTAGATAACGTTATATTTATGTAATAGTTTGGTGTTTAAAATGTCTTTATATAACGTTCTAAGAACATATTTTTATAGGACTATATTTACGTAATTATTACGTAATTATGAAGTATATAATTAACGTTCATTCATTACCTCTGTATAACATAATTTACAAATGTTATCATAACGTAATATAGGTTGGTGTTGAACGTTCTCATAAAACTACGAACGTAAATTTGTAGGACCATATACACGTACATACTAACTTAAAATATAACGTTTCAATATAACGTTATTATAACGTTATAAACACAATATATTTTAAAATACGTTATAAATAATTGTTTAGCATTTTAACTGTCTTTATATAACGTTCCAAGAACGTATTCTAGAAATATATTTACGTATTTATTATGTTTTTATAACGTATATATAACGGTCATTCATTATATTTATGTAACGTTGTCAACAAACGTTATAGTAACGCAATATAGCTTAGAGTTAAGAATGTTCTGGTATAACGTTCTACAATTGTAAATTTATAGAACCATATACACGTACATATAACTTGAAGTATAACGTTTGCATATAACGTTATCAACACACTCTATTAGAACCTTGAAAAATACCTCTTAAAAACATTCATATAACGTTAATGCAACGTTTATTTATAACATTACATTTAGCTAATATTTGAACGTTATATATTAAGTTATAAATACATAAATATTGTTCTACAAAAATACGTTCTTATAACGTTATATAGACATCTTTAACACAAAAGTTTTAACGTCCTTATAACATTTGTTAATAACGTTATAATTTAAGTTATAAATACGTAATTATGGTTCTACAAATATACGTTCAAAAACGTTATATAAAAGCGTTCATAGCAACTAACTTTTTTACGTTTTTATAACGTTCCTTGAACGTTATGCTGCAATGTTAAATATTAACATTACATAAGTGTTATATTTGTACGTTACATATTAAGCTATAAATATGTAAATATGGTTCTAGAAAAACACGTTCGTGTAACGTTATATAAAAACATCTTTAGTACCAAACTGCTAACGTTATTATTACGTTTGTTAATAACGTTACATAATGCAATATTTGAACGATATACTTGAGGCATATAAATACATAATTATGGTTCAAAAACATACATTCATAGAACTTTTTATAAAAACGTTCAAGTATTTTAAGTTTTATAACATTTTTTAAACGTTATATTGAAACTTTATAATTGACGGTACGTAAATGTAAAATGTTTACATATATATTGTAAGTTATAAATACGTAAATATGGTTCTACAAAAATACGCTCTTATAACGTTAAATGACATAATTAACAGCAAACGTTTAAACAACGTTTTTAAACGTTGTTACAGAGTTTATAATAAACGTTGAAATGTCGTTGTTTTTAAACGTATATCCGAACGCTTGTAGTAAACGCCATGAAAACGTTGTAGATAAACGTTTCGAAAACATTATTTTGTTACGTTGCTTTATAACATTACGATAGCGTTTGATTATAACGTTTAAAAAATGTTCTAATAGCGTGTATTACTAACGTTGCAGGTTTACGTAATAAAAATCGGTGGTACACATCTTTCGTTGACATAATCAATTTGCATGCCTCAAGGGCCCCAACAGTACTCTTGAACCAGGGTCACTTACAAACTAGTTACACCACTGCTTTCCAGGGAAGGCCTCTTGATCCCTCTCCAAATTACTTTTCTGCTGCCCTCCTACCCCCCGTCGGGGAGAAAAAGCACAATTCGTCGGGGAGAAAAAGATATTACATGTATTTTTTACATATTAGTAGACTCTAAAATCGATTAAATAAGCCTTTGAAACCCCTAAATTGTCGACATTTTCGGAACCTTTTAATCGAAGCTCGACCACGCTCACTTTGTTTTCATCGGGGAAATATGACACCTCGTTTTATTCAAATTTTAAAATCATTTTTTTAGGGAATTTGTCGCGCGAACCACGATAATAGCCGAGTATTCGATAGGAAATCTGAATGCTATGTCAATTCAACTTAAACAGTACAGTAGGCCTACTTACCTCATACTATGTGTCGATTAAAAGGAAGCCAGGCCGGTCGCGCCCCTACCCTTCCCCCACCCCTCTTTCGTAAAGCAAAAAGA